GTATCAAATCCTCCATGTGAGTTGTAATGCAAAGGAATAAGATTTTGCTCTAGGAAACCTGGTTACTCTTCACATTGATAATCATTACACACTGCACAGATTTAGAACCAAATTTTATTTAAGAATAATTGCAATACAAAAAGCAAAAACACATCCTTTTTGGACAAAGTAAATTGTCTAAAAGACCATAGTTAAATAAAAAATGTTACCATTCCACGTTAATAAAAGAGCCAGGCATCCAGCTGAAGGCTTGTGGGCTGATGAGGTTTAAAATAACTGACGACATAAAATAAGACCTAAAAGCATGTATCAGACACATGCTAACAAAAGAGGATAATGTGGAATCCTAAAGTTACATTGCTACATAAAATAAATAGAATGGTAAATTGTGGAAGATGATTATGGGATCATATTTTAGTCTAGGTAACCTAGTCAGTATCATCAGTGGTGTTTGAAGCAAACAGTGTTTTTCAGCTGATAACCTGAGAGGCACAACAATCATACCCCTGCTGAGCAACTGAATGTCCCACTAAAATCTAGGCTGCTTGATGCTGCAAAGAAACTATGCCACAACATTTTTTTTAAATTTGGCATTGCTAAAAGTCACTGATGCTTTCTCCATGTGCAGGTTGCCTGCTCTCATATCTGCCTTCAATTAGTCTTTTAAAGTCTCTATAATTAATCTGTAAATATAATATACATAAATATAAAAAAGGTAGCAACTAAAATGTACCAGTGTTTGGCCACTGCTACAGCGGTACCTCGGTTCACAAACGCTTTGCGAACAATTTGGTTCATGAACAGGAAATTCAGCAAAATTTTGCTTCCGTTCGCGAACTCCGCATTGGGTGACGAAAACGACGCGGCCATCTTTCCTGCTCTGACACGTGGTTGTGGCTTCCTCTAGTTGAGATCACGGTCTGATCACAGTTTGCGACCAGAATCGTGGAACGAATTAAGTTTGTGAACCGAGGTACCACTGTATTTATATATCAGTTTTAGATTGTCGGCTATCATGGGCAGGGCTCTCCTTTCCATCTTGTCTTTTGTATTGTAACGTCCTTATATTGTAAAGCACTGCAAAAACTGTTGGCACTATATAAATCTTGTATAATAATACTGTCATTTAATATAGGCAAGGTGCTGCTCCCACAGGTAAGGGCCAACACTGATGAAGTGGGTCACTGCATATAGGCAGTACCCGTCCTGTATTAGCAATACATATAGGCAGTACCAGTCCTGTATTAGCAATACATATAGGCATTACCAGTCCTGTATTAGCAATACATATAGGCAGTACCAGTCCTGTATTAGCAATACATATAGGCAGTACCCGTCCTGTATTAGCAATACATATAGGCAGTACCAGTCCTGTATTAGCAATACATATAGGCATTACCAGTCCTGTATTAGCAATACATATAGGCAGTACCAGTCCTGTATTAGCAATACATACAAAGTAAAAATAATTTACCATTACTGGTTCAAGAGAACAGTTTGAAATGCCAGACTACAGACTTTCCCATTTACATTGGTCATTGCCATAAAAACCTATGTTGTGCCATGTTACTGAGGCACCACTCCTGCAATGTGCCTGCACTTAGCTAGAACCGTTCAGAACCTGTGTATTATTGTAATATATTGAATCTGTGCAAACTCATGAGATCATTGGAAGTATATGTTGCCATCTTACAGGAATATAAGAAAGCTGTAATGCTGAAACCTGAAAAGGCCTTTCAATGTATATGGTAGGGAAAACTGCTTACCTTTACTCAGATGGAGATCGCCTAGGTTAGATATGACAAGAGCAAAGTACAGTAACCTGGAAAGTATATATAATGCAGGGGCCATTGTTGAGGAAGCAGAAAATCTGCAAAAGTTGCTCCATGCATCCTCTTCCTTCTATGTATAGATGCTGTACATGTTTTCCACGGCATGATTTCAAGCTTCTGTAGCCTTTAAAAATCCTTGCGATTATTTTAGCTTCTATGTAAACTACAGTGTTTGTAAATTGTGCATAGTTTGCTGAATATTTGTTAGGTGTAGCACTATAGCTGTTTTTTAGACTCACTGGCTATGGCTCATACAAGACACGTCCCTTGTTTCAATTAGTATTAACTGTAAACTGCAACGCTGGCTATACACCTAGGCAATTTTAACCATTTTCAGCACTTTTTATGGCAAAATCAAACAAACCAAAACCAACCTTCCACCAACCGCTACGATAAAAACTTAATAGTAGGGCTGCATTTATCAGTTTAAATCACTTTTACAAAAAAAACTGGGTTAAAACTGGTTGCTTGCCCCTGTGTATGCTCAGCATAAGATGAAACAGAAGTGAACCAGAGATGTGAAACTTACAATTAGATAATAGCACTCTTGGATCCTTTCTAGAATTGTACAAGTCTACAAGTCTGGCACCACCTAACAATGTTTCAGTGTAGTTCTCAATGTATGATTATTCAACAGATGTACGAAATTACTTACATGTTGTGTGTATACAAGGTGAACACAAAAGAAGTAGAGAAATATTTAAAAGCGTAGCACGTGTTGGTACTTTGAAAACTATACCAAGGCATGACAGAGTATACAAGAAATCTTAATTAGTAGAAAAAAAAAACCACATTATGAGGAATGCCAATCTGGCACTATAGTTTAGAAAATACTGCACCACCCGACCCACAAAAGGAAAGTCCCAACAGGTCTATAAAACACTGCAGAGACAACAGATATAAAATGTAGCTGGCGTATATGACTGCAGACAAGAGCACAAGCTTTCACAAGGTTTTCAAAGTGTATGTTCTGTATAACAAAAATAACGAAGGAAACTACATGGATCTAGTAAAATCAATCAGCTGACTGAGTGAGCTAGAGGAGAATGACAATTTCAGATTAGACCAATTTGTTACAAATTACCTCCAATACCAAGGTCACTAAAATCAGATCAGGGCTCTACATCGGAACAGAGCTGGACCACTGCTGCTTATACGTAAATCTTGACCTGTCAATCACCCTAAAAATTCATAATGGCTGCTCCCTGCAAATAGGTATCTTACCTGCATCTCCACTGGCCCAACTTCTACCTTCACTTTGTTCAAACACTGCAGTCTCCGGGCCAGTTCACACCACAATGTCTTTGTTCCAGAGCGTTCGGCCTCTGGAATGCACTGGAACACTAGCCGGCCAACTCCCTGCATTCAGGGGCAGGAGGGGGCGTGACCATGCATTGAAGTCAATGGCACTGCAGCCATCCCCTTGCAGTGTGATCGACAGCACCCGAAACACAGGCACTAATGTGCCACGCGTTCGGGTGAGGTCGATCGCAATATGGGTGAGGGGCGTGGCTGCATTGCCATTGACTTCAATGCACTGCTATGCCTCCTCGCACCCATGAACGCAGGGAACTGGCCGCCTAGCATACCAGTGCGTTCGAGGTCGAACGCAGACTTTATGGTGTGAACCAACCCTCCATCAGACTTTTCAACATTCGTGTGCCCTGCTGTGCGCAGTGGTTCCATCTTTCCAACTCTATGTCACTACAGGAACCAGAGCATGAGATAGAGGTCGGAGATGCGGGTATCCAACACTCCAGGAAGTGCTGAATGCTGAAGATTCTAAAAGGAGGTTGGCCAGAGAGGCAAGTAATATCTCTTCAATTGCAAGGACAGTCCATTATTTTTTTGGGTGGCACTGTCACTTTCAAAAGTTACACTATTTGCAGAAAGTGCAATTCATTAATGTGTATGCAAAGCCAAAAACATTATTTTATAGCTTAAGACAGAGCAGGGATAGGTTAAATACCCTGTCCAGGGTTTGCTTTGTTGCCTGTGTCCCACTGGGGAGATTTCCATTCATTTCCTGTCTGAGACGCAACATAAACAGAGTTTCCATCTTAAAGAGTGATAAGAAACGACGTCCCAACTGGACTATTTCCCCCCCTTAAGTTTTTGTTCAGACGAATACTCAAAAAATCTGCCTCAGTGAAAATGGTCACCAGGACAAATAGAAGGGTGAATGTCCCCAGCGGGACATAAAGAGCAATAAATCAGAGTGTATCCCCCTTTCCCCACACCATTAAACTAAAATAATTGTCTCAATATGCACTTTACACTTGACATTACATGACGAAATGCACCGTTTAGCTGGATAAAGTATAAATGTTAGCGGCTCAGTGTTAAGTGATTCATATGCAATACGTTAATCTACTTCACTATATTCCCTAGTGGAAGACACTATTAAAATGGTAGACCAGGGTAGCCAAACTCTGGCCCTCCAGCTGCGGTGAAACTACAAATAACATGATACATCTCTCTCCGGGTGTCATGTATGTAAGCTGTGAGAATCTTGCAATGCCTCATTTGATTTGTAGTTCCACCACAGCTGGAGTGCCGGAGTTCAGCTACCCCTGGGGTAGACCTTGGCTATGCTAGTACGCCATACAGATCTAAGCTGATCAATAAGAAAAAACAAAAAAACACCTCTAGGATACACTAATTTTTGGGATATTACACCTTTGATAAATTGTATAAAAGGAAACAAGTTATTTTGTGAATGCTTTAAAAAAAAAAAAAAAAAAAAAAAAATGCCTTGCTAGATCATAAGAATAAATTAAGACCTATCACAACTATGACAAAATGAAATTCAATGCAATAATATCTAAGTGTATAAAATCCCATATCATGCTGTACAAGACTATCATGTAAATACATAACGCTTACACCCAGGTAAAACCTAACTATAAATCAAAATTACATATAGCTTGTGATCACCTAAAAACAATGACAAGTTACACCATCTGGGATCAAACTACTACCCAGGCATTAAAAACAAGCTTGCTAATAACTTTGCTGCAAAACCAGATTCTGGATTGGTCCTCACCTCATGAGCTGTATATAACCGCGCACATATTCAAGGATCCTGACTGAAACCAATGACTCTCAGCAACTATTCTGACTACATCACCGTAGCAGTTTTGAGGAAACATTGAAAGAATGACTTACCGTGAAGTGGGTTCAATGGACCAGAAGTATTATTTGGCCCTCCTTGTGGAGCAACTCCATATCCATTCCCATTATCAGAATCCATATTTTCAGCTCCAATGCCATAAGGTAACGTATTTCCTTGAGCTACATCTGGATCATTACATGGAGCACCTGTAGTAGCTAAGAAATAAAATGTCATTCACATGATCCCACTAAAACCACAAACACTGCCACCCTGTGTACTCAAATCTGGAAATGTGTCAGAAAATGTTGTGATTTATACACTCGTACACCAATTAGACAAAAGAAAGCCTACTGAAAGAAAACCCATACTAAAAGTGGCCATCATTGCTCATCTCCTTCTCAAAATGCTGTCTGTGGCTTCAATACACAGAGCTGCAATAAACATGCATGCATTCAGATCAGGTGTCCTGACTACATACATGTTTCACACCACTGGCTTATCTTATTGAAGTCACCATATCTGAAGAAAAGCCAGGCTATCATTTTCAGGGGTCAACAGTGACACGCTTCTGGCTCCTGTTAAAAGGATAATTATGCGATGTGTGAAATACACCGACTGGAGGGATAGATGGGAGAGGGGTCGGGCACAGCTGGCTCTAGACAGGCAGAGCCAGCTGTCAATCAGGTAGTGGGGGTGGACCCCGACAATATCGTCTGGATCCGTCTCAGCTGCAGCGTGGCTCTGCGCTGTCAGCATATAGGGGGGCAATAGCCAGCTATATGCTGAGTTTTGGGTCACAGGAGGACATTAGTTAATGTCCCCCTGTGAGCACAAAGAACAATGGCCAAAAAAGGTTGGACCATAGCTCTCTATTAAGCAGACATTGCAGCCATTCTTCTCCAATGCTTGAGTTCCAGCACATCCTGTAGCTAAGAGACTGCAGTAATGATGCAAGACTCAAAGAGCTGCAGGTGACCATGTCATGATAGAAAAAGGAAGCAGCTACTCCTAGCAAAAGTGCAACTTTAGTGGCTGGCATCCATATTTTTGCCTAAGCAATCAGTGAATCACTGATCTGGAACAAGCCTACCATTAAATGCTTCTTCTACATTAGTGACTCGTGCTAGAAAGCTAGAAGGATGACCGCATGAAGCCAAGCTAAGGATGGCCTTAGGCAGACTGCCCCAGTGGAGGCACCCAGGCAAAGATATGAAGTGTTTTTCTCTATGGCTAATCCCATTTCAGCGCATGTGCTGGGCTATGTCAACTGGGCTCCTACATTTCTGCACTTCGTCTAACTTCAAATCTGACCTGCTTTTTTAGAGCAGTGCGTGGTCTTTAAGTTTGATTGCACCCTTATAGTTTAATACTCCAAAGCAGTCAGGCTGCCTAAAATGTAATGCAGGTCTGTGCCATTTCTTTAGTCCTATCAAACTGCCCCATGGCAGCAGCAAGCTGGAGACCCAGACCCCTGCTCTCTGATCATGCTGCGGGCACAGGGCAGTTTAATGTAGGGCTAAAGCTGAGTAAAACAAGGTGGTATTGTGTTTTAACCTGCAAAGTGAACCTATCACATACAACTAAATCTCATAACAAGCAACTACATTTCAAGAGGAATCAGCAAGAAACATTTGCCAGATTCTTTTATGTGCTCAGGTAAAACTCCAACCTTTAGCTACAAACTGAGGCCTAAACTATATACCATTTAGGGCAGAATGAAAGTGTCTGCTTAAAGCCCACCTGCCAAACACTTTATATTCACTTGTACAGCACTCCTGTGCGGCTACTCCCAGCTCAAACTGCCCAGCGACTCTGGGAGAGTAAGCGGACCTCCACCCATGATGCCGTGCTCAGGCTTAATCCCTAGGCTTGGGCACAGTCACATGAGAGGACATCAGTCTAAGCTCAACCACCACCCAATAGAGAGTATTATGTACGGCGCCATAGAAGGGTAGAGGGTGCTGTGAAGGAGAGTGTATATACTTTTCAGCAAGTGGACTTTAAAACAGACCCTGTCATAACCGTGCTTTTTGAGCTGAAGACTTGGAAGATGTGGTTTAAATACTTTCTAGTGGAGGAAGAGAACACTTCTTCAGTTTTCATTAATCGTGGTGCGCCTGAGATTCTAAAGCCCTATAAGACTTTACATTAAGATGGGAGTCAATATTCGCCAAGTGTCTTTCCATATAGGCAAGATGGGTCAAATAGTTTATTCTACAGGAAGCCCGAGTTCTGCAATCTTTTGTTTTACACTGAAAAGAACATCCAATGCACATAATTTTCTCTAGCAGATGGGCACAAAATCGGTCTTGTTTTACCTACTGGTGGTATGAGATCCCAAAAGACAAAAAATACTTTGGCTGGAGAAATCACTACCACCACCAGGTTTATGTTGGACATTTGGTCACCTTTGCTGATGGGGCAATCAGTCAATCTGAACTCCTTCCTTTAGCAGAGATCAGCTGAGCAAATGCCTGAGCATCCATTCACACTATCAGCTGCTGTGAGACAAGAAGCAGTGTTTGTGCTTCCACTTTCAGGAGGATGGATGATGTAGTAGTAGAATAAATGTACATTAGATTGTCAAAATGTGTCAAACATGTAAAATGCTTTTGTTTCAATCCAAGGAGACTCAAACTGCACACAGAGGAACATGCGTCTTCAGTAATTCAGTGTATGTAGATATATGCCTCTGAAGTTTCATAGGCACTGACTTACAAGTTGGGATGCTTATTCCAGACATAGGAGGAGGAAGAGACACTGGATGAGCCATAGGAGGGGGCATACCCGGAGGAGGAAGAAATCCTAAAGAGTAGTAGAAGCAAAGTTAATAAATGGAAAACATGTTAAACGTTTAAACAATAACACCGTAAGAACTATAAGGCTAAGTTCACACCTAGGCGACTGAGCTGATTTTGCGCGATTTTGCTTTTTGTCGTGCGGTTTTCAATGCATAGGAGATGTCTATGGGGCAGCAGCCTCCCGAAAATAGCTTCTGCACCTTTTTGAGCGACAGGCGATTTCTACCACGTGACAAATCGCAAAGGTGTGAACCAGTTCCATAGACTTAAATGCAAACCTCTGTTTTTTCCAATATCCGTGCGATAAATCGTCTAGGTGTGAACCTAGCCTGAGATTGTTTATAGGACTAGAGAATTAGATCTATCCATCCCCTTTTTTCAGTTATGGAGACATGCAGGAACAATAGAATTACATTGATCGCAATAATTAAACAAAAAAAATCCAAAATATTCTTCTAATTTTAGAAAGCAAAGACTGGACATGGACAAGCAATGCCTAAACTTTGGAATGCTTTCATAAATAGCAGCAGTACATTTCTCAATGTCAGTTACCAGAACAGTAAATGGTGCTAAGCAGTCACTGGAATGGGTCAAATGATCTTCCATTACCTACTACTCTAGCCTTTAATAAAAACAACAAACTGCATGTGACCTATGCACTTACTAGAATCATACTACTAAACACTAAATACAAAACCACCTATACAACTCCCAAGGTTAAGAGTCACAAGGTAAATATATCCACCCAGCTCATCTACATTGAAATGTGCAATGGTTTTAGAACTACAGGTTGAGCTGCTTTAATATACCCAAATACATGTACTGTGTAACCCAATATTATACTGAACTTTAGTAGTTTGATAGGTCTCTATACTCTGCAGCTTTAAATATTTTATATTAACAAAATGTTATCAGATTTAAAGCCGAACTTATTGAGATAACATTTCTAAAGAAACGCGAGTGCTAAAGTTACCGTTCCGTATCTGCATACCTGCGGTAGTCTTGAAATCAACTCTGTGGGGCTTATTGAATCCCATGTCCAAGCTGTACTTGCAGCTTTGGCATCTGACTAGTCAACATCGTTTCCCAGTTCCTCCTGAGGCCTCACTTCACACACTTCAATCGTCAGTAAAATGCGAGAGCTTTTACTGGCCACTCAAGTTGTGGCTTTATACAGTTGAAGGACAGAGCCAGAGTTGCATCTGGACTTAGGGAAGAAATTGAGGCACAATACAGAACGTGGGCCTAAAATAAAAAGGTGCTTGAGAGGGACACAGGAAACAATGACAAGTTACAGGACCTTGCAAGGTGCCTGCACTTCAGCATTGTTGTAGCCTTACGAACATTAGGTCAGTTAAACTAAATCACATAGGGCAAACAAAGCTGCAACTAAACATATTAGGTTGACTGGTGATTAGCAGTATATGTCAGATTCCTCATGCTGCTTTTAATCAAACGCATACCAAAGTCCTAACAGTTATAAAGACGCACTGATACAAGCACCATGTCTGCCAACTAAGCAATGCAAAATAGTAATGTTTGATGGGTGATCCTGAGGAGCCCCCAGCAACACCCAGTGACTGGGGGCAGAGATGAAAAGCAACCTTGCATGAATCATATCAGATCACCGCTCTGCATTTCTTAAGATAAAGAAATAAACCTATTTTACAGGTGCAGATGCAGACACATCATACCCTCCGATGATAATTCCCCCTGCATGCCCTCCTCAACAAAGACAAAAGTGGTCCCAAATGTCAGGATGCAGTCTAATACAATGGCTTTTCCTTATTAGGCTCTTGACATTAAAATGTTGCATGGACATTTCCCTCCCCCCCCTATATTCCATATATTATAACTACACCAATTTTAATCTAGTTTATAAAGCACTACTACCCTGTTTCCCCAAAAATAAGACCTACCCCGAAAATAAGACCTAGTACTATTATTGGGAATTGCTAAAATATAAGACCTACCCCGAAAATAAGACCTAGTTGTGACCATTCCCAGGGCCGGTGGTGGCATAAGGGGAAACTTGAAGAGCCCCTGGAGAGGCAGGAGAGAATCAGCGATGACAATGAAGCCAGCGAGGCGGCAGAGGGGGGAGCAGAGCCGATGCCTCCTCTATAGCGCCGGCTCCTGTCACAGGCGGAGTGATAACAAATGCGCTCCACCTGTGAGGAATCGATAGTGAAAGTGCGTTTCGTTCATTCTGGCCAGTGATTGGTTACCAAATTGCTCTTGGTAAGGTACGGCACCCCTGATTGCCCTGATCACCCTATTCTTAACTTTGCCATTTTGGATTATTTAATTTGGATTTGCGTTAACTTTGGATTGTTGTACATTAAAAAAAATAAATAAAAATAAGACCTACCCCGAAAATAAGACCTAGTGTGTTTTTTTGAGCCAAAAATAAAATAAGACAGTGTCTTATTTTCGGGGAAACACGGTACATGAATGTGAACACAGTGGGAATATAAAGCATTTGTCATTGCACACCAATATTCAATGAACGGTTAGGACTGTATTCATGCACTTTACCCATTAGATAGAATAATCATTTAATCTGTGAGATTTAGGCAGCTTTCTTTGTATGGAAGGCATAAAAATGGGAGATTTTTAGTGGAATGGTGGACGACCACTATACTGTATATGTTAACTGACCCATGTGCCTCTCTAAAGCTTGACCATGCCACTTAATCTTCACAGAAATCTATGGAGTATTTCAGAGACCTTTGGACATCAAGTAGCTGATTAGGATCGTCCAAACTCTTCTTCTATACCTATAACATTCCTAAATGAGTCAGCATTGCATTGTAATCTAAAATCGCCTAAATATATGAAGTGCCAAGTTTATACTCGTCATCTTTGTACTATACTACAATGGAACATATAATTAAATAGTTTCCAGATTTAAAAAGACAGGGATAAGGGGTTGGAACACGCCAGGTTTTGTATTGCCAACTTTATCCCCGTCAGGAAAATTCACTTTTGTTTTCATAATCACTGAGAATAAAAGAAGGTACATCCAAAATGTTGTGTTTCCACCAGGACATAAAGGAGAAATCTTCCAATGGTGTCAAGCATTTCCATTGAAAACTAGTTTAGGAGGGGCTCTCCCTCAAACTGGAAAGATCCTTTCTCAATTTGGAGTCTACAGGTCGGGAAGTATTGAAAATTCTCCATAATAAGAAAAAAACTGACAGCGTTTTTTTAACTACTGTATACGAAATGAAAGAAATGTTGGCTTTAGATATAAAGGTCTAGCGAAGTATAAGTGATGGTTTCAATTGTACTGTTCAACATAAAATGTGTACAAGACTGTTTGAACTGTATAGACATGGTTTGGCAGCCCTTTTTTGTATAGAGGACACTAAACCCTCACATCACTACTTCCTCTGTGTTTTCCCTTGTATAACAGACTACAGTTCACTGCTTTCCATAAGAGTAGCACATTAAAATAATGTATGCTGCTGTGAACATATAAATAAACCAGTAAGCTAGTTATAAATAGATATATTTAATAGCTGCACCTATATTACAATACATCAGTTTTTTGCATTTACACTTACCTGGGGGCAGTTGCATTGGATTAAACCCTGGCCTCATAAATGGGGGTGGAGGAACACCATGAGCATACCCAGGAGGAGGTATATTGATAGGACCTGGGAAAGGCATTCCCTGTGGCATAGGCATTGCTTGTAATGGTGGCAGTGCTGGTGGAATAGGCAGTCCTTGAGGGGGTGGAACCCCTTGTGGTGGAGGTAATCCCTGTGGCAGAGGTAAACCTAGAGCAGGCAAAACTGCACCCGGCTGAAGAGCCTGAAGTCCCGGAACTACCGAAAGAGGTGGGATGGATGGCATGGGCTGAGTACCTGGAACAGGCTGAAAGGATAGAAAAGGACAAACTTAAAACCATCACTGGTCAAATATAATCAGAGCGAAACACTTTTTTCATAGTGAGAATTGAAGCATTGGAAATGTAAATGAAGGGAAGGGGGTTGGGGGGCAGTCAGATATCCTATAGTGGGATGCATTTTATGAACTTGGTAAAGCAATGCTCTAGTGATATTGTGCGCAAATCAATACACTTCCAGTAAAACATCAAAGAACATAAAAGGAAACATCCCCAGTGACACAGAAACCCAAAATTTGATAAATACTCACCACTCCAGGCATTGAGGGACGAACCTGGAGAGAGAGCAGAGGTACAGGCGTATGCTGCAATGCAGGTGAATTGTTTTCATTTTGAGCACTTTCAGCTGTAGACCCATTTTGAGATGCATCTGCAACCTCTGGCTTTTTAAAGATATTTTTCCAATCTGAAGGGTGAAGAAAAAAAAGACCAACATTAAAACTATTTGTAAGTAACATGATAGCATTTTTTTCAAAATCACTGATCAGAAAGCAATGCTTACCTGGGCACAGTGTATCATTATCCAGCATCCCTCCTTCACACAATGCCTCCAGTTCCTCAGGTTTGATTTTACTCCATGGTATGTAAGTAACACCGATTTCTACTTCCCAGTTGAGTGCACACACAATTAAAAAAATCATAGAAAAAGTTATATACTGTACCAAAAAGCTATAGACTATGCAATACACTTTTGGGAAATGCTTAGTTGTGGACATTAAGCCAATTCTGCATCGTTGTATAAAAAGTAAATTTGATTCACCTTTATTGCCTTTGTGTTGACCTTGTAGTTTCCTCTGCTCAGTTTTTGTAAAGCACGATATGCATCCATTCTGTGAACCATTACAATGTATGCACAGCCTCTTGGCGGTATCATCTAGAAAGAAGCCACACACAAAAAAAAAAAAAAAAACACATCACTATGGAAAATCCATAACTTTGCATATTGGTCCTAGGCACAGGGATGTTGTTTGCACTACTACTACAACCGAAAAAAGCCCCCCCAAAAACATCACTCTGGAGAGAAAGCCGGATGGTGGGCCGACTTGTACAGAGCATCTGTTCATTTACAGAGGGGAATTTATCAAAACTGGAGCAGAAAAAAATCTGGAGCAGCTGTGCATGGCAAACAATCAGCTTCTCCTTCATTTTCATATCTAAACAAATTTAAGAGAAAATCTGATTGGTTGTCATGGGCAACTGCTCAAGATTATGTCTGCTCCAGTTTTGATCAATTTCCCCATGGTGTTGATCTCCTATGCATTTCCCAAAGCAGTCACAAAATCCTCATTACTACCATCAACTGCAGTTTTATCTTCACAATAAAGGGCCAATGCCAACACAGTAGATGAGCGGTTCTCTTTTGTCTTTGTGTCAGAGCTTACACACATTTAACTTCTTCTTTCCCCTCCATGCATGACAGTGTTTGACCATATCAATTGCCCACTAAAGCCCAAGTACTGCATCCTGGAAGGAGGTGACATGCTCCTCCATACATGGAAACACTATTTATCAAGGGCTCAGCCAAAGCAGTGGGGTGGCAGGAGGAAGCAAAGGCTTATGTAGCTTAATAATGCTTGCAATTCTCATAAGCCACTTTGGGGGTGGTACCTTTACATAGCAAACTAGAACAATAACAACATGTTTGTAATGTACTCAAAGTACCACTGCTTTAGTGGAAGGGGTAATTCAATAAAGGAATCATGGAAATTGTGGCACCACTCACAATAAGAGGATGATGGTGTTAAATGTTCATGAATTAGTCACACTTTTGTTTGTTTCTTTTTAATAACTGTTCATATTAACTATTCTTATGCAAGTTTCTGCAATCGTCAATATGATAAAGAAAAATCATGGACAAGTTAAAAACTTTGAAGTTTTGTAAAAATTTACTTACGTTGATTGATTCAATGGGTCCAAATTCTTCTAAAAGGCTTCCAACATCTTGCTGGGTTGTTCTTTTGTCCAGCTGTCCAACCCAAAGAGTAGTACTGCAAACTGTTAAAAGCAAGAAGGTAGATTAAAATAGTTTTTGGGAGGTTGCTCACGCTCAAACTATTTACCAGCAGTTCTCACAAGACTTTGTAAAGGGCTTTTACATCAGTATTCAAACAAGCTTTTTTAGCAGGCACACTCTGTTTAGACGAGTTAACCAGGCACCAGCCAGTTCTGCACATTTTACTGTGATGGGCCTGCCTACTTCGAGACCAGCAGTCCATTGTTTACATGCTTGGATATATTTCCTTTAGTGCTGCCCATGTCTGTGCTATAAGTCCCCATTGACTTGGGGCAGTATACTGAAGACTTAATGCCAGGCCAGTGCTAAAGAGAATTTCATGGCCGAGGATGTAAACACCCGACCTCGCTGCAAAAGTGCAAGGAAGGTAAATAGAGGGCTGAGGTGGGGACAGGGTTAATGTTACTTTAGGTAAACCCTATCTTGTCCTGTAAAATCCATTTATCATATTAAACCTTGTGCACACCTTCTTCCCCACCACACATGACCACTCCATCCCATACACCCCTCACATTTTTGTAAATATTTTATTATATCATTTCATGTGACACAGAAGAAAATGACACTTTGCTACAATGTAAAGTAGTGAGTGTACAGCTTGTATATCAGTGTACATTTGCTGTCCCCTCAAAATAACTCACACAGCCATTAATGTCTAAACCGCTGGCAACAAAAGTGAGTACACCCCTAAGTGAAAATGTCCAAATTGGGCCCAATTAGCCACTTCTCCTCCCCGGTGTCATGTGATTTGTTAGTGTTACAAGGTCTCAGGTGTGAATGGAGAGCAGGTGTGTAAAATTTGGTGTTATCGCTCTCACTCTCTCATACTGGTCACTGGAAGTTCAACATGGCACCTCAACATAGCACCTCCACTGAGGAGGAGAATATATATATTTAAAGTCATTTAAAGTGCTTTATTGAAATGTACCACTTGATAAAAGGTCATTTTCAGCATCATATTTAAAATTCTAAAAATCTGGAAGCTTACCACTAACGACATCAACTTTGATTGGAGGAAGACCTTTCATTCTGCGCTCCCTTTCCTTCTCTCGATCACGCTTCTCCTGAGAGCGAGATTTTGGAGAATGACGCCGCCTATCTCGTGATCTAGAACGAGAGCGCCTGTGCCTGGATCGGCGAGAACGTGAACCGGAACGGGACCTCCGCCTTTTTGGTGATCTAGGAAAAGGGTCCACATTGTTAGGCAATTAAGAACTGAAACAAAAAAAGCTGTAAATAGAGCTTCAAACAAAGCCACAAATGCATACCTGGACACAGACCTCTGACGTTCTGAGGGGCGCTTTGATTCCAGAACAGGAGGTTGTTCTATTTCCATTGGTACGTCCTATGAAAACCAAAGAGCAACCTCAATAAGGCTGGGCTACTTTGTTACAACTACCCTGGTGGGGTCCCAGGCATCTTACATACACATTCAAAATATGTCAACCATTATGATAGTAATATTATAAATTAACTCTGTGATGTGATGTACTCATTGCACAATACTAAAAGGCATAAGTATAAAGAGAAGGAAAAAAAAAAAGTTGAAATATGCAAATAACGTAAATAAAGTTCATGAGCCACTCTTTATGCAACCATAACCTCCACTGAACCTAATATTGCAGCTAAAGTGGATATTTAAATCAATGCCCCCTTACTGATATGTAAGCAGGTTTTTAGATTTGATTGCAATTAACTGAACAGACACACTGGACTTGGCAAAAACACACAGCCTAGTACGCAAGATTCACAAAACTATAATATATGGCCAGATTGGAAACATAATTGTTCTTCTCTGGTTAAACATGAAGGAAAAAACAAAAACAAACAAACCATGAAATGGCATTGCAGGCCTCTTCTGTAATAAAAAATGAATGTAAACCACATGCCTGCTTGCTGCCTATGCATAGCTCAGTATAACATTCTCAGCACACCACTGTGCCGGGATAAATTAACTTCTGTGCTCATGCCCGCGAGCTATGCCGTCCTGCTCCAAACAATCAAGACTTGGCACTCAGAATAAACTAGGGGCAAGATAACTGCGCTGGCAAAGGAGCGCTCACATGTAGCATCCTCGGAGGCAAGTGTTTACAGACTTTAGTTGGACTTTTTAGAATATTTTACAATTATATGCTCTCTGTACTCAATATTAGAATGAAATATTGTAGATTAGCTCACCTGCTGATCATTTTCCAGCTGTGTATCATTTTGCTGAACTGGGAAAGTAGGCTGGATAAAAGGCTGAGGAGACTCTTGTGACATAGGTGGAACCATAGTGTGGAAAGTCTGGGAGGAAAACATACCAAAACCAAGCATCTGCCCATTTGCAGGGATTGGAGGCTGAAAATAAGGAAAGTAAACTAATTAACAAAAAGGAAAGAGGAGATGACATTTAAAAATATACTTTTGATGCAAGGTGCAATGATGTTAAGAAAATTTTAGGACACCTGATTAAGCAGAGATTCCTGAGGCATTCCAATCATGTGCGACTGTAGAGCCTGAAACTGATCCATGTTTGGCATTTGTCCTGGGATCTGTGAGAAGGCTCCAGGAGGCTGGTTTGTCTCTGCAGAAAATGAGCTATAAAAACAAAAAGGACATTTTTTGAAGTCACTATCAATAACATTAAAATCTAATTTTAGTATCTTCTAGACTTAAGACCTTAATCATGCTGTTTGAAATCCCAACACATAAATCCAGTGATCGGCTAATATGCATTTGATGCAGTGTGTTTTCTTTGCATTAAAAGTGACATTAAACTGAAGAGTTAAATCTTAAAAATACATTCATGAACCTTAACTATTAACAAAAATTATTCTTATTTGTGTATCACTCGGCTGTAGATCCTCAACTCATCTCCGAATTGATGCCGATACTGTCCTTCCCTCTGGAGGGTGGCCACAACACACACAGGGATCATGGGGAACAAAAAGTAAACTAGCCAGCGCTCCAAGCTCACTCCTATTGATGGACTACAATCTCAATACAAATTAGTAAACTAAACATGAGATTGTAGTCCATCACAAGAGCGAGCTTGGAGCAGTGACTACTTTACTATAACAAAATTGCTTATTTGTGTAATAGTTAAGATTTTTAAGATTTAACTCCTGAGTTTAGTGTCACTTTAACACAAGCCAGTGCCATGCCAAACACTGTCTAAGCAATAATGGGTCGCTGAAGGAAAATTTGCCATCTATAAAAAAGGCACAGCATACGCTACGCTTTTTAGATTAAATGGCATCACGGAGCAGCTTCCGCCACCAATCCATTTAGAAATCAGTAAATAAGTGGTTAGAGCTGCAACAGTTAATCGATTTAGTCGATTAAAAACGTTGGCAACGTTTTCGATCGTCGATTCGTCGGCTATCGATTGATTTGCCTGTTCGGGGCTGTTCCGGGCTCCACATGCGGCCTGAGCCACACGTCACACGCTGCTCCCGCTGCGGCCGCCGTGCCCACGGCACAGGCCGCGTAAGCCACGCCCACCGCACAGGACGCTGAAGCCGCGCACGCCGCTGCTCTACT